GGGGGGAGTCAGGCGGTCACAGCCCGGCTGGGGGATCCAAACGGGGCTGCGAGAGGCCCCCGACCGAGAAAGGCCACGGCTGTCCCCGAGCCCTCGCAGGGCAAAGCGAATCGGGAGCCCTCAGGGCGTACCGGGCTGCGCCCTCCAGGTGGGCACCACCTGCCTTGGCTCCCGGACAGCACAAGCCTCGGCCATGCGGACCGCTCTCCTGGAGGCGAGACAGCTCAGCTGGCACCAGCCGCTTGTGGTCTGCCAGGTCCCAGGGAAAATCTGGCAAAGCCACCATCACCAACCCATCACCATCATTCATAATTTCCTTCTCAGTGATCAACCATTTCTCCCTTGGCTTTTTATGACCCTCTTCAGCCTTTGTTGTTTGTCTGGTGGTTTTTTGTTTGGCCCTTGTTTTCAGTGGTTTTTCTGCTCAAAGGACCAAGCCAGGCTGGGAAGCCCGTTGAGTCCATCACGCCACGGGAAGGCAGGAGCAAGGGCAAAGATCTGCCAGCTTCCTCGCTGGCCTGTCCGCGTTCAGCCTGCAGCACAAAGCCCTGGATCCGCTTCCCAGCAAAACGAGAGGAGGGTCCAAGTCCCGGGGAAGAGCCCAGGCGGCTGCCGGGGACCCCAGGGCCAGGATGCTGGTGAAAGACGCAGCCTAATTGCACCGAGGCTCGAAGCAGATAGAAGGGCCCTGTTTGCACTTACCAGCCATTAAATGATCAAACGGGAACCTGTGTAAAACAAGAGTGCTAAAAACCCACAGATGCTTTAGTCCGAGAGATTTGGGTTTAAGGGACAATAAAAGACTTCAGATTGCCACTAAATTACCTTGAATCTTATCTAAGCACCGAAAGCAGAGAGCGGACTCTTATCAAGACAGTTTATTGTTCTGGTTGTTGGCCGTTCCTGTTATTTAGCAACCCTCTCCCTGGCTTTAGGTAGTCTTCAGACCCTGCGGTGGGCGTGCAGGGAGAGCCCCTGATAACCCAACAGAAGAGGGAAGGAGTTCAAAGACGTTATCTCCATCTCATCAGGCACTACAGCCCAGGTACCTCCTTCCCTGGCTCCATAACAAAGGACAACATCTCAATACATGAGTGAAAGACCCGAGTCCTCACCCAGAGGAGTGAGATGAAAAGGATTCCGCATCAAAAGGATTCAGGACCACGGCTTGATTCCCAAGTTCCCAGCAGTTGCGAAGATCTTGCACTACCTCTCTCTGACACACACTAGATAACACCTACAAACCCAAGCCACGACCACAGCCCCAGGATCCCTGTAACACACTGATGATATCAGCGGACGTAAAAGAAGAAGAAAAAGACTTATCTAGTCAATAAGCTTCACGCAACTTGAGCCATTCATTCATCAGCAGCTCGAGGGAGGCATCTGCAAAGCCCGTGCATCGCGGGGGCAAAACCCGAGGGGTTGTTGTTCATTCCTTTTAGGAAGACCAACCTTAGTTTTATGCCTAGTAAATAATATTTTATTGCCTTTGGTTTACTGTGGCATTTCAATGATCCCCTTTAGGAGTCTGCAAACTGCGTGGGTTAAAGGTCATTTCTCAAATCACTAGAATTAGTAAAGAAGAGGAGAAAACAGTAAAAGGAGGCGGGGCCGCGCCCGGGCTCGGCTGCAACCACCTAGCACAGAGCTGGCTGCCTGGCACGTCTGCGCTCCGCGGGCACTCACTCATGTCCGCGGGCAGAGCCGAGCCCGGACGGGCAGGCAAACGCGCCCGGCTCTCGGCAACACTTTGGCAATAACCAGAGCAAACACTGGGTCGCTTTCGTTGCTGGAATTTTTAAAGTCGTTGCTTTTTAAAAAAAAGAAAGAAAAAGATCACATTTCTGGACAGGGAATTTATAAATCACGGGCAAGTTTTCAAGTCATGGAGCATAGAAGTGGAAATAAAAGGCAGAAATCCAAACATCCTGCAAGTCTTTAAGAATTTTAATTTCTTCTCGCTATTTAAAACAGCTGGGCGA